ATTGTGTATCTCATGATAACATATATTAATTTAATGTAAAATAATAGTAAATAATTAGTTGTATTTTGTACACATTTTGATGATATACGTATTTGTAATTAAATATTTTTCCTATTACCATTTATCGATATGTCGAAGACTAAACATCGATTTCGGTTAGGTAAAAAAATAATTACGCACACATAACTTTTATAATTTACAATTACATTTTCTTTTATACATTTTTTTAGATTCCGAGTGGAACGATGAATGTATTGATTTTACAATGATGTGTGTTTTTTATTTTTTTTGTGTCTGTGTACACGATAAGTAGTCGAAATAATGCTTCGATTTTCGACTTCAGTATCTTGTTCGATTGGAAAGTGAATATCGTTGGTGCATTGGGGAGGTCAAAATTTAAATTTCCCAGTAGTTTTCAAAAGCGCCGGGAAAAACAAAAGAAAAATTAAGGGAAAACGGAAATTTTTACGCAAAATCTGTTTTCGAGAAAATCGATTTTGGTTTTAGGTGTAACTTTAAAACAAATGACCGTAGATACATGAAATTTTCACCGGTTGCTTTTATTTGCATTTTCTATAAACGATAACATTTTCAAAATATTTTGATTTATTTTGATCTGTTTAGGGACATTTTCATTTTTCATTTTTTTTTAGTTTTTTTTCTAAAAATATCAATAAAATTTTATTTAGTAGTTAATTCTTTTACCAAAAAATCTAAAAAATATACAATCACAGTTTATTTTTATAGTCATTTTATGTTCAAATTTGTACGAAATTACATATTAAAAACCTAGTTATTTTGTTGTGATTATATAATATTATTGGGTACCTACTTAAAACTTCTAAAGTTTACTATTATATATCAATGATAGTATCAGGATTTGTTATTGATGTTGATGTATAACGTGTTATAAGTACCTAATGGATATTGTGATAATGTGATATGATTAATTTGGAATTTATTATAGGTCAATTTTTTTTTAAAAACCATAGATATGTATATAATTTGTCTTAAACCTAGACTGACATACCGTCTTCGCTCAGAATCGTTTTTCTTATACAATGATATTGTATCATTGAATTCAAATTTAATACCATCCATTATACAGTGACCCACTTGTAACCTACAGTACAGCAGAGCGACATCCACTTACCCACCTTTTTCATTATATATATGAATTATTAATAAAATTATATTGGTATTTTTTTAAGTTTAGCATTCATTATACTTTTTAGATTTTACGAAGAATGTTTACTGCCTAAAATTGTTGATTCTTAAATATCAATACAGAAAACGAATGCAAAAAAGTGATATTATTGACCCCCCACACATCACTAAGATTCTCATAAATAGTTCATACTGTAGCCAAATAATCTAAAAAATATATGAGCACATTTATTTTTTACTGACATTTTAAATTCATATTTGGACAAAATTACATATTAAAAAACCTAGAATAACTATTTTAGTTATTTTGTTGTGATTGTATAATATTATTCATGGGTACTTGAAACTTCTAAAGTGTACTATTATATATTTATGATAGTATCACGGTTTGTTATTGATGTATAACGATTATAAGTACCTAATGGATACTGTGATATGATTAATTTGGAATTTATTATAGATACCTATTATAGGCCAATTTTATTTTAATACCATAGATATGTATATAATATGTTTTATACCTAGACTGACATACCGTCTCCGCTCAGAATCGTTTTTCTGATACAATGATAATATATCGTTGAATTCAAATTTAATATCATCCATTATACAGTGAACCATTTGTAACGTACTGTACAGCAGAGCGACACCCACTTGCCCACCTTTTTTATTTTGTGGATAATGAGTAGTCAAAAAGGGATGACTGTAAATGTGTACAAGGATTTAAAATCGAAGGCCCCAGATATGCCGTACTGGCAAAGTATGTCCGAGATTTCGAAAACTTTGGGTATTGGATTGAATTCAGTACTGTAAGCGCCCTTATTGACCTACATATAATTTGTATATAACTGGTAAACCTTACCATAATATTACCATAAAAACACTGCCAAATATTTCACCTACAAATTATAAAATTAGTTATTATGAATATTGATTTTCCAGCTATAATTAAAAAACTTTTAAAAGAAAATTCATTACCTCTTTTTCAGAAAACCAATAACATTTCGGAAGCTGCTCATAGGCGTCTACAGGCACAGCTCGGTATGACAAATCCCACATTATGGAGGTTCATAAATGAGCTGATAAAAGTGCAGGCAGAGCGTGACATATATTATGAATTTTTAGTGGCAGGCAACGAACCACCGCGGACTAAGCGAAAATACGTTGATGCTAGTAACCGTATTTTAACATTAGTCCGAGATTATAGAAACGGAAACATTATAGAGTACCTCAGAGGATTGGCACACAACTTTGTGATGGACGAATAAAATGTTTATTAGAACAAACAACTAAATTGTATTTAAAACTAAACAGTTGATTGTACCTATTTCTATTTCATACAGACATACAGTGTACCTAGTGAGCAGTGTTGCCAAGTACTAGTATTAAAAAAAACAAGTGGCCTAATAAAAATCAACCATTTCAAATTTCAAATAGAACAAAATTTAAACCAATATATCATATATTTTTTAAATATTGATATAATAAATTAAAAGCATTTAAATTTTAAAATAAGAGTAGCACTTTTAATTTAAAAAAAAAATAATAAATAAATAAATGGCATTTTACCATTTACCATCACCTGTTTAGTAGTGAGTCATAACCATGGTTACTTATAAACAATCGTGGTTCCCAGCTCATCATTATCACTGTGCGCATAGATAATAGAATTTTCTATTATCTATGACCACGGACTAAGATATAACTTAGTATCTTAGTCCGTGTCTATGACTGCGTGAATTATTTTTATCATTATTTTGATAATCTGATTGTGCGAGAGTAAATTTGAATTATTATTTTTATTTGTTTTATGTAGAATTCACGATTCTTTAATATATATATATATATATATATATATATATATATATTCTTTTTTATATACCTAATCTAAAATATATATCTTTAATTGTGGTAGAAATCATGAACAATGTAAATACATAGAAAGTTGTATTTTATAGTACAAACACAATTTAAAAAAGCAGGCAAGTGGGTGGCACTCTGCTGTACAGTAGGTTACAAGTGGGTGACAGTAATGGATGGTATTACATTTTAATTCAATAATATTATATAATTGTAAACAACAAATGATTCTTAGCGAAAACGGTTTGTCAACCTAGGATATTTTATATAATAAATAAATAAATAAATAAATAAATAAATATTAATATGGTAGCCAGTAAGTTGAATTAATATTAGGTATACTTATTAGAAGTTCAAGTAACCCACTAATAATATTTTTAAATTATAACACAAAACTAAAATCGTTCTTCTTTGTTTAAAGATCATGTTATCATGTTATTATCTAATATCGTCCAAACTTGAACTTTAAATAACTATAAAAAAAACTGTGTAATTACTAATATCTTTTTAGATTTTTTGGTTACAGTTTGAGCAAATCCTAAGCTATAAAAAATTTAACATTTTTTAAATTTTTAACTGCAAAATGATTGTAATTTTTTATTTGAGAAATTTTGTTGACATTTGAACTTTAATATTCATAGTTGTTTACAGTTTTGGTTATAATACTATTTATTTACATTAAATTGTATACAAATTACGTTTTAGAGATCGTTATATACTTAATACAAACCTATATAGTAAAGTTATAACCAAAATGTCTACATAATGTATAAATAAATATATTTTGAATATAATACGTCTACAGTCAATACTGTATAATATGGAGGCGTTATAACTTATAGTCTAGCTAGACTAATATATTCATATAGTAAACACTATATATAAAGGAATAGGTTTGATGGAAAAGAATTATATTTTTGACTTAGATAGGTAGGTTCATAAAATAAATAACATTCATAGGTGTAAAAAGATTATATACTTAACATAAAAGTTTTTTTATAAATAAAGGTTTGTGATACAAAATTAGTTTTGAATACACATGTATAATAATTGTGTACAGTGAATAACTATGTAGGTACTTACTAAATACTTAGTTAACTATATTTATAATTAATTCTGTCAGTCTGTTTATGCTTAGTTTAAATCAGAATGCTTCGATCAGCCGACATCAAAAATGCCTTGTTATCAATATTGATATTTTCCCTATGGTTTTTGTGAAACATTCATTCATACCGCGCAGATTTATTTTTTGTGTTTCGTCTTTTTCTAGTTCTTCGCGTAAGCAATTTATTTTGAGAATGTTTACCTGACTACCTGTATCTATCATTAAATGTAACTGGTTTGTTTTTGCGGCATTAGAATTGAATGTTATATGATTATTTTCTAGTGTTGCGAATATGTGAAATATTCGTACAGTTGTTCCGCGATAATCTGGTTTATCGTGCGAGTACCGCGTACCTCGTTCGATACATTGGCGTTTCCCGAATTATTTCTACTTTCATCGTTTCTCTTTTTATAACACGAATCTATATTATGACCGTTTTTATTGCAATATGAACATGAAACTGCTTGTGTATTATAATTTGTCGGCGGTTGTGTAAAATTATTTCTATTAGGTGGACGGTTGTTATTGCCGTTGCTCGCGTAGTTAGGTCTCGAATTATTTCTACATTGTGATGCAAAATGATTTCCATTGCAATTATAACAACTTATTGGTGGTCTATTAATCGGTTGAGAGAAGTTGTTTGCTCGCGGATATTTATTTGATGCAAAATTATTTGGTCTAACGTTCCCGTTGTTCCTATTTTCATAGTTTGATCCACGTTGATTATTGTTTTGTGAATAACTACTCGAAGAATGGTTTCTATTTTCCTGTTCTTATCTTAGTTCTACCTGTTCTGACATAGCAAGTTGTTTCGCGATCTCCAGAGTTTTGGGATTACGAGATTTTACTATCGTTCTAATCGGTTCTACTAATCCTTTATCGTTAGAGTTTGTTCCCTTAATGTTTCATGTATAATTCTTGCTTCTGTAGCTTCTTTGTTCAATGTACTTACGGTACATAACTGATAATATAGTTTCTCTACTCTATGGCAATAATCATTTACATCCTCATTGTGATTCATTCTAATCGAATTTAATTGAAGTTGCAACGACGATGCATTGGTTGTCACTTCGAATGCATCTGTTAAATAATTTTTTATATATTGCCATTTTGTTACGTTTTTATATTTAATCATTTCTAATGCTCTACCCGTTAATTGTGTAGCAATATATTTTACTAATATTGGTGCACTGTTTGTGTCGACTAAACTTACTGCCATATCATATGCATTTATGAATTGATAGATATCGTCTATTCCTGTGCATATTGGAATTAATTTGAAAGCGTCTTCTAATTTTATGGTTACTGCCATTTTTTTAGTGCGTGGTTTAGATATAGAACCTAACGACTGATGTTCAAAACTATTTGTAACAGGGCTACGTGTGACTACTCCTTTTCCTACTTGTGGACTTGGGGTTTTACTTGGGCTACCTACTAACTGGGTATCTACTATAATATTCAACTGGGCTTTCTGGTGGGCTTCAAACTGAGCTTGGGCTTCTCTCTGGGCTAATAACTGGGCTTCTATCTGGGCTTCTTCTACTACACTAGTGTCATAAAATGAATTAGCTACGTTCAAGGGAGATGTATCTTCGCTGTCCATAAATTAACTTAGCTACCTATTTAATACGTTAATAATCATAATAATACTCAATAATAATTCAACAATGCCCTATAAATATAATAATAACTTCAATAATATGCCCTCTAATAAATTCAATAAACTTCAATAATACTTCAATACAATTTAAACGGTTTACACCATTACACTTATAATCAATTACCTAGATTTATCTTAATATTATGTCTTAATTATGTTGCATACGTCTATGTAACAAATTTAAATAACTATTCACTCACAATAATGCTGCGTTCATGGCTGACGATGACATGTTGCCGATGTTGATGATGCTGCTGATGGATTTGTTGGTACTGTGACGTGACTTATTTGTTTTTTTGTTGATTCCTCCTGGAGTTGTCTTCGCAGAAGAGTGATCAATTCTTCGTTGTTGACAGTAGCCTTTGACGGTTGCCTCATTGTGGAATTCTACCGACTGCGCCAGTGTTACATCCAGCCCTTCAGGGATCCAAAAGCTGATGTACTTTGATAAATAATAATAGTCAAATTAGTATAGTAATCAAATTTATTTTATTAAACCAGACAAAATAAGCAGAACAGTCGTGTTGATTGTAGTGAATTGTAGCTCGTTCCAGAATTGATAATCTCCGTGTAATTATGTGTGATGGCTTGGCGGCTAAGCGAGTCGTGTGTTGTTCACGCCTCTGGATACATCTACTCAGGCTGTCTCGCTGTCCCCTCTATATATGGTGGCGGCGTCCTTTGAAGTGAGCGGCGCGTGTACAGTCGTCCTTGATATGGACCTCACGACTAAAAGTGGTATTCTAGTCGTAAACACTTTTGGGTGTGGTCGCATTCCTGGTTGTTTTTATGAGCAAATACATGATATTACGTAATCTCATTACAGTACGTAAAATAATTTTTGTCACGCCTGCACCGAAAGTTTGGTTTTCGACCACGGTTAAAGCGTTCGAAAGCGTCCTTTTTCCGTCCAGCGGGTGGTAAAGTGGAAATCCCCAAAGTGCCGGGCGGAAAAGAGGAAATCCCCAAAAGTGCCGGGCGGAAAAGAAGAAATCCCCAAAAGTGCCGGCCGCCGGGCGCGTATCCCCTGCACAACCAGAAACTAAAATGTATACCTACCACGGTTCTTACAAAACATAAACTTTTGGTTACATCTTAAATGTATAGTATAACCTCCTTGCATGACGCATAGATCCCTGCATAACCTTTTCCATGAACGCAGGGGCGTGACAAAAAATAGTATGTGTGCCTTGCGCGGGAAGGCCATTTCAGTTTTGGGCGAAATGCGTCACTCGCCTACGGCTCGTGCCGCACACGACGCCCGCGACTGAAATGGCTCACTTCCCGCCCTTGCCACACAATATACTATTCTGGGTACAAATCAACTGGGATTGTTGCATCTCCTACCAAGACACGGAATAAGAAGGGTCTGTTCGACAAAATTGACGATTTGGATAGGAATGTGCTACGTCAAAAGGTACACAGTTTTTGGTTTAAATAGACCAATTGACAAGGTTTTGGAAGCAGTGAATGATGACCCGGCTCTTCCTTACTTCAAACGCACCACATTGTAAACTACTATTAAAAAATTGGACTTTGTCTTCACCAAAAGGATGAGATGTAGTGTGTTGACGGAGAGGGAAGATTTGCTTGTTGGGCGACAAAACTACTTATATGATGTTCGCAAATTTCGTGAAGAAGGTCGTACCGTCTATTACCTGGATGAAATCTGTTTAAATACAGGCGATCATGTTGATAGGTTGTGGGTTGACAAATCAATAAAATCAAAATACGATGCATTTACCAGAGGTTTGACAATTGGTGCGACCAACTCTACTAGGAAAGGTCAGCGTTTAATTGTGTTGCATATTGGGTCACACGGAGGATTTTTAGAAGGTGGACTGTTATGTTTTTTGTCAAAGAAAAATAGTAGCGATTACCATCACGAGATGAATGGCGACAAATTTCGTGAATGGTTCGAGTCAATAACTCCACATCTCGAACAAAATTCAGCAATTGTGATGGACAATGCCCCGTATCACTCGGTAAGGCAGAAAAAATATCAACGGCTACCTCAAAAAAGAACGACATTTTGTCATGGCTAGCATCAAAAGGCATTGTCATTGACAAAGCAATGTTTAAACCACAACTGATGGCGAAGGTTAGAGAAATAAAGGGAAAATATATATCTTATGTCGTCGACAATATGGCTAAAAATGCCGGCCATAATGTACTCAGATTGCCACCCTATCATTGTGAGTTAAACCCAATTGAATTGGCATGGGCAAAGACCTATGTCAAGCAGAACAATACTACATTTAATCTTGACGATGTTAAGAAGTTACTGAATACTGCAATTGATCGTGTAACCAGTGAAAATTGGCAAAATATTATTGAACACGTCAAAACGGAGGAGAATAAAATGACTGAAGTTGACCGCAATATGGACGAAATTATTGATAATTTGGAACCATGCATCCTCACCATAACAGGCGAGACTTCAGATTCTTCTGATTTTTAATTGTATTAGAATGTATATAATTGTCTTGTCTAAAAAAAAAGCATTATTTATTTATATTGTATTTAAATTTGCTATTATTATGTTGACGATCATTTAAAAAAGTTTGTGATTTATATATTATTGTAATGGGATTACGTAATTCCATGTACTTGCTCATAAAAGCAACCAGGAATGTGACCACACCCAAAGTGTTTACGACTAGAATACCACCCTTATTCGTGAGGTCCATATCATATCAAGGACGACTGTACACGCGCTGCTCGCTTTCAAAGGACACCGCCACCATATACTGGGTGATTCTTTTATCAAACAACACTCATTATTTCAAAAAGTGTAAATGTTTTTGAAAATATTTTTTTACATAGTTGCAAGTCGCTTATAGAACAACGTTTTTATAAAAAAATTATATTTTTAAATATTTTTTATCCTTAAAATTTTTTAAGTTTTTTACTTTTTTGAATAACAACATACGGTTTTAATTTTATATTCCAAAGCAGAATATTTTTCTTAGTATTTTGATACATGAAAATCAAATTTGGGTTGAGTAGTTTATGAGTTATAAATATTCAAAGTTTGATGAGTGGTGAAGTGGACAAACATTTCGCGGGGTAACCCCGAACCACTCCACTCCGCTCGTCTAAACTTTAAATACTTATAACTCGTAAACTACTCGCCTCAAATTCGATTTTAATGTATCAAAATACTAAGAAAAATATTCTACTTTAGTTAGATATTATAGTAGATACCCAGTTAGTAGGTAGCCCAAGTAAAACCCCAAGTCCACAAGTAGGAAAAGGAGTAGTCACACGTAGCCAAGTTACAAATAGTTTTGAACATCAGTCGTTAGGTTCTATATCTAAACCACGCACTAAAAAAATGGCAGTAACCATAAAATTAGAAGACGCTTTCAAATTAATTCCAATATGCACAGGAATAGACGATATCTATCAATTCATAAATGCATATGATATGGCAGTAAGTTTAGTCGACACAAACAGTGCACCAATATTAGTAAAATATATTGCTACACAATTAACGGGTAGAGCATTAGAAATGATTAAATATAAAAACGTAACAAAATGGCAATATATAAGAACTTATTTAACAGATTCATTCGAAGTGACAACCAATGCATCGTCGCTACAACTTCAATTAAATTCGATTAGAATGTATCACAATGAGGATGTAAATGATTATTGCCATAGAGTAGAGAAACTATATTATCAGTTATGTACCGTAAGTACATTGAACAAAGAAGCTACAGAAGCAAGAATTATACATGAAACATTAAGGGAACAAACTCTAACGATAAAGGATTAGTAGAACCGATTAGAACGATAGTAAAATCTCGTAATCCCAAAACTCTGAAGATCGCGAAACAACTTGCTATGTCGGAACAGGGAAATAGGAACCATTATTCGAGTAGTTATTCACAAAACAATAATCAACGTAGATCAAATTATGAAAATAGGAACAACAGGAACGTTAGACCAAATAATTCTGTGAGGCAGAATAATTTTGCACGAAATAATTATCCGCGAGCGAACAACTTCTCTCAACCGATTAATAGGCCAAAAAAAAAAAGGTGTTATAATTGCAACGGAAATCATTTTGCATCACAATGTAGAAATAATTCGAGACCTAACTACGCGAGCAACGGCAATAACAACCGTCCACCAGTGGCGTGTTGACAATGTTTTTAAGGAGCGGCCGCTCCATCAATATTTTAAGGGTGGGTGGTTAATGATTAGGTGGGTTGTGGGTATACTTCTATTATACGAAGAATAGAATTGTAATTTTGTGATCATAAATATACTACATGTCTTAACTTATAATAGTACAATATACGTACTACGTACTTACGTAGCATACTGTTTTACTCTATAACAAAGACAGCCGTAGACCGTAGTACGGTAATACGTACGAAACCATTTCGTTATCTACATTCCATGTGTAATCACAAATATCTGATATCATATCTGTGGGTGTGTAATGTATCAAAATGTTATCAGACGTTCAATCCAGTTAGCAGTTCTATTTTTAAAATATATGAAAGTGGGAATCCCTACTTGTATTTGTTATCAAAATAATTCACTGGACTTCGCCCTTAAATTGTAATGGAGAATATTATGTCAACAACGCTTTCGACCGCGGCTGCTTGCTACAACCTACTGATAATAAGTACTAAACTACTAAAGATCAACCGCGACTCCGCCACCGTCTGTATTTGTAAATTTGTAATAATATGCTACACACAGTTATGCGGTAGGTGTAATATTATAGTAATATAGTGTTGAAGTATTTTTCGTCATTTTTTGTTCAGTTCAATTAATTAAATATTCAACTTAATTAACAATTTAAAATAATGTCAGAAAACAATATTGAGTGTTTATGCGGAAGAAAAAGACAGAAAATTAATGACACAGATTGGAAACGCCATGTAACTGCATGCAATGTTGCAAAATTAAAAAGTTCGAAAACGGTATCTAACATATTTTCTTATATGAAAAAAAAGGACCATTGATGATGAAGTGCACCCACCTCTACCAAATAAAGGTAAATTTTTTTTTTTAATTTGGCAATAAAAAAAAAATAACAATAGTCAAATACAATTTAGAATAATTATTTTTCTGCAATTATCTACCTACCTAATTATGGTATATAGTATAAGTCTCATTTGACAAGTAAGAATAAGAGAAATTTTTTCGGAGATTTGCAATCATTAATTGCTTTTTTAAGAGCAAGAAAACGTACTGCAATATTTTTAAACCAACAAAAAATATGTTATCCAGAAAAAAGAGTTTGTAGAATGAAAAATTTTTCTTCTACACGTTGGACATCTCATGGCCATGCTTTGACAGTTATATTTGAAAAATATAAAGCACTCACTAATACATTACAAGAGTTATCAAACTCAACTGAACGTGATACATCTTCAATGGCAACAAATTTAGTGTCTACTATTTCTTCATTCAAGTTTGTTACACATTTGTTATTAATGAAAAATATCTTTGAGCACACATATCCACTATCCATATATTTACAATCACCATCATTGGATTTCATCACTGCATTAACTATGGTTGATAACTGTGCTAGGAAACTGTCAGAGTTAAGAAAGGATCTACATTTAGATGTATTATTGGCTGATGCAAAAATGTTTTCTCTGGAAAATGAACTGGAAGAAGTATGGTTTCCAGAAAAACAAGTTCAGAGGCGGAAAATAATGGCTGGAGAAAAAACGAATGATGAAGTAGTATCAAATGCCAAGGATAATTTTAAAATACAAGTTTATTTCACTGTCTTGGATCAAATATATACATCTATAACGAGCCGATTTGAAGGCTCACGGGAAATTTTATCCGACTTGTCCCTTCTTTCAGTCGATCGACTCATTTCTACAAGTAAAGGATGTCCTATACCTGAAGATAATTTTGTGTATCTTGATAAGTGGATTCCAAATTTACAAATTGATCAATTAAAATTTAAGTATTCCACTTTTGCATACAGTTTCCTTAAATTAAAATCAAACGTAGAAATTGAAAAATTGCATGAAAATGTAATAGTAAGTGAATCAGATACGGATACAATTGTTGATTCAGATGAAAACAATAGTGAAGAAACTAAAACTAAAATGACAGTTTTAGATGTGTTAAAGTTATTAAATACATTTAACTTGATATCAGCATTTCCTAATATGTACATGGCATATAAATTTTTGTGTACCATACCAGCTACATCAGTAAGTAGTGAAAGGACTTTTTCTAAATTAAAATTGATTAAGACTAGAATTCGTTCGACAATGGTACAAAACCGTCTCGAAAGTTTGATGCTCTTATCATGTGAAAAAGATGTAAAAATTAACCTTGATGAAGCAATAAACAAATATGCCAATACCTCTAAACTACTACAAGAAGCGTTATTATATAAGTGAAAAATTATATCATGTTAAAAAGTATAAATTATTATTTAATTATTAAGAAATATGTTTATACCTATAGTTATATATTAATATGTATGGTAATATATTAATATGTATATATTGTACTTGAACAATGAGTATTCAAAGAATTAAGTTTTAGTTAACTAATAGTTTGTTTTAATTAATGTTAAAGAAATATTGAGACTTGAGTTGATTATAATATAATATTATAATAAAGTATAATGAAGCAATTGTCATTATTAAATATGAAAATAAAATGATTTGTGTTTACCAATTACATCAGCTGTAACATTGATGAAAACTGTTTAATAAATCATCAAAAAAAAAAATTTAAAAACTACTTTTTATATACTATTTAGAATTTAAATATTGATGAAGTGTAAAGGGAGGGCCAATAATCCAAATGAATAGTTCATTATGTTTTTATAGTGACAATGCGAGCGAAGCGAGCGGTTTTGGTATGTGGGGGTATTTAATAAATGGGTGGGTGGGTGGTATGTAAAAATCTTCGCTCCTTAAGTAAAAGTAGTTCAACACGCCACTGCCGTCCACCTAATAGAAATCATTTTACGCACCCCCAAAAACTATAATACGCAAACAGTTACATGTTTATACTGTAATAAAAACGGTCATAATATAGA